AAGCCAAAATATCTTTGATACCATGGACATTTCGGTTCCAAGGTATTAAACTGTGATTCATTTCTTTAACCTGCATTAATCATTGTTTTCCCCCTGATATTTGGGGCTTGGTAACTCTAATTGAGATTTCTCAAAGCCCCAGAGAACGTTGACTTTTAACCATTGAACTTGAAACATTAATGCTTCGCTAGCGTTCTGGTTATTACTTATTAGCATTGATTTCATAACACCGTACGTAATCATAGCATTACAAACACCAATCAGGTCCCCAGTTTCTTCACTTCTAAACAATTCTCACATCATATTCAATCTCTCCAGCATCTGGACCAAAGCAATCTCAAGGAATTGAATCGTCCAATTCCGACAACATCCGTACTCCCTTTACAGCTGAAAAAAACTTTATCCTGATTCTTGACAATAACCAGATATTTGATATGATTCCTTACTTCATTGGATCTTTAGAATCACTTTCAGAACTTAGTCTTTCAGGGAACAGATTATCTGGGTCAGTTCCGATATCAATTGGCACATTATTGTTGCTAAGAGAGTTTGATCTTTATACCGACATATCTAGATTTATCCAGAAACTGAATCACCAGTAGCATTCTAACCAACCTTTGTGATGCCAAGGTATTAACAACAATTTTGCTTTCACGGACCCAGCTGAGCGGTGTTATAATAGGAAACGTGTTGAATTTTGACAAGACTAAGAGAGATTGATGTCTCGTATAATTTTCATAGAGGGTCGATTCCTCCACACACAGCCATCATCCCTGCTTCTGCATTTAGTAATAATATATCCCCACCTTTTGCTCAGATCATATGAAAGGCAGAAAACGAAGCGCTGACCTATGTATCCGACGAAGCCAAGGGATTTAAAGAGAGGAAGTACGCAAAAATATGTATCTGCACTGAGGTTGACAATTTAATTAATGGCCAGGAAAACGAAGAAACTAGGGCCACACCTTACAGCTTTTTTTTATAAAAAATGGAAATGTGTAAAGAGTGTAGAAAGTAGCATGCGCACTTACCAACAGTAGCATGCGCAAGTTTATGCTTCTAGTAACATTTTTAGTGGTCCTATTGAGGCTAACGTCCTTGGATGGAGACCCGCGATGGATTTTATTGCATCATCACTTTGCATTCTGTAAAATACAATCCGCATTTGTGGAAATTGACTGAGTCAATTGCAGGAGTTGGAGATGAAGAATAGTTTGAGGGGGTCTCAGGGACGTTTGCGAGAATTGAACTTCCGACCTCTCGCACCGAAGCGAGAATTATACTATTATACCACTAGACCAAACACCCTTATCCAATTTGTGCTATCAAATTACCATTTTGAAGTTTTGAAGTTATTTATAGGCACAGCAAACCAGTAAGAATCAAAATCTGGCTTTTACGTATGCTACTCATTTCCTATCTAATTTAACCCCGAATCATTTGGCAGGATCTATTATCACTCTGTTCTTTGTTTCAGTTTGCTACCAATGTGATGCTCCGAATCACCCATTCAGATGGAAGCGTAAGCGTGAGTGTCGAAAAATTGTTAAACAATATTTTAACCTGAGTTGTTTTAACAAAAAAAAAAAAAACACTAAGGTATTACTTTTGAAAACATGCTTCTTCTTTTTTTTTTTTAATATGTTCTTTGATAACTTATGTTTTAAGTTTTAACCCATTTAAAGACTCATTTGAATGAATTGATGTCATTTGAATAAACTGATACTATCACGTGTCCTGCGTTATGCTATGATTTTCACAAACGAATGGCCAACATGTTGAAATGGAAAAGGCTTAAGCTCGTTGGGGAATTG